GGCGGGAAGTGACCCCAAAAGGCCCCGTTGGCCCCAAATCCGGGCCGGGCGCTTTGGCACTTGGATCCCGGCGGGAAGAGCCGCACAGAGACACCCTCGGTTGGGGGGGGTTGGAATTCCCAACGTGTAAATTGAACAAAATCCCCTGTTTTGCACCCATTTTGCGCTCCCAGAGGGGGTCATAGTGCTTCACGGATATTAAAATACAAATGCTGAAGTTTCCTCTATAAAAATATACAAATGCAAAAATAGACATCGCGGGCGCCGCCCCCGCCGCCCTTCTCTTAAAAAACGAGCGTTAAAAAAAGGGGGAAAAGGGAAAAACGGGCAGAAACCACCCGGCGCTCCGCGGTTTTCCTGGGGGTTCATCCGGCTCCTTCCCGGGAAGGCCGGAGCTGCTCCCGGCGCCTCCCTGCAGCTGTTGGGATCCCGATTATTGAGGGGAAAGGAGGGGGGAAAGAGCTGGAATTTTGGGGGAAAACGGGCGGATTGTCCCGTTTTTCCGCCGGGATGGAGGGAAGCGGTGCCCTGTCCACGCATTCCCGCTCCGAGGCACTGGGAAGATCCCGCCGGATCTCCCTCGGGATCGAGCGCTCCGGAGATGCTCCGGTAGCTCCGGGCGAGCGCGGAGCGGGATCCCTGTTCCCAGCGCAGATCCGTAGGGATCGCCAGGGATTCCCGTGCCTGGCAGCGCCCGCTCCCGCTTTCCAGGGCCTTTTCCAGCTCTATCCCCTGCTCCAGCTCCCCGGCCTTTCCCGTCTCCGCTCATCCCAACTTTTCTGCTGGGAAACACCGGGAATTTAACGGGAGCCCCGGCCGCGCTTTCGGAGGCTCCCTGTGCCAAGCGGGAGGCACCGGGATGCTCCCATGGAATTCCTCCATTCAAGCCGCGCCCCCGCCCCCCCCCCCCTGCCGCAGGGAGGGAAAGGGCAGATCTTGTCTGGCCGGAGCCAGCGTTCCGGGTGGGAAGAGGGGCCGGAGCCAGCGTTCCGGGTGGGAAGAGCCGTGCCCAAATACTGAGAGTTTTCCCCCTTCCCAACACCCGTTTTTGGCCTCGTTTTTTAGGAGCCGGACGGAGGCCCCGGAGCCGACGGCAGCAGCGTCGGGAGAGGAAAAAGAGGGAAAATAACCGGGAGCTGCGGCTGCCTCCGGCTCCGCGCGCTCCCTCCGGGATCCTTCTCCGTAGGGATCGCGGCTCTTGGGAAGGCGGCGGAAAAACCAGCCCCTCCGCTCGCCCCGCCGCTTCCCGCGCTACTTA